GTAGCCGGGTAAGCATTGTGCCGAGTGTAAGAACGGAGGAAGACATTGTCTCTCCGAGCAAACGCGTGGACCAACGCGGCCGGGTAAAGCACCTTGTTGCCGCGTGTAACGAGGATTCGACGAAGTAGCCGAGTGTATGAAGGAGGAGAGATTGGCTCCAAGCAAACGTGGCCGCGTAAACGCAGATTGTCCGAGTGCAAGACCGATTCGACGAAGTAGCCGAGTGTAAGAAGCAGGAGCAGATTGTCTCTCCGAGCAAACGCGGGCGAGCAAACGCGGCCGCTTGTAACAACGATTCGACGAAGTAGCCGAGTACGGGTTTGTCCGAGTGTAAGAAAGGAGGAGAGATTGTCTCTCCGAGCAAACGCGGTCGGGTAAGCAGGATTAGACGAAGCAACCGAGTGTACGACGCAAGAAGAATTTGATTTTGTTGTTATACTGCGGGGTTTTAGGTGTACGCACACAGAGAGACAGTGTGCGTGACAGGCGTTTAGTGAAGAAGGCAGGTGCGGCGGGGGTATTCATGACGAGTTGTGCGTGTAGTCGTAGTAGTAGTGTACCTTTTTCTATTTTTTCCTTGCCAGTTTTTTTTTATTTGAGCTTGTAGTGTACTTATTTTTTCTTTTTTGCGTTTACGTAGTATACTAATTCATGTATGTGTGTGGATAATTGCGCATGCATCATATTCATAGGAGACTAATGTTATTTTTTTATTTTGCTCTTTATGTACTTTTTCTACTTTTTCCTTAAGGTGCCATGTATGTTATTCAGCACAGAGTAGTAGTATCATGTGCAACTCGTGAATACATAGGAACATATGGGCTTGTATATACTAGCAATAGAAGGCAAAGTGGACGACCGTGAACAACATCAGTAGGGGTCCTTAGCAGACGGGTATTTATATTTAATATTGAACAAGACATCAGAATTGTATCCTATAGAAGTTACAACATGAGTACACAGGAATTTGCGCGTTTGTTGGCAGAGTATGTCATAAAGAGGCAACTACCGTCCGATGAGCACGACACCGATAATGGGTCTGGCAGTTTCAGCGTAAGATATTGAGATACAGTATTAGAGGCAGAATGCCTGAGGCAGTACGCAAGGAGTTCCATAAGTGACCCCAGTATTGATTTGTACGAGCAGTATACATATAAGGGCCAAGTACAGTACTCATATTTTTACGCGGGAGTCAGAATACCAAAAAGCACGGAGAGGCAGGGTGGTGGATGGAGTAATTTGTTCCATGGCCCAAGGGAGCACAGAACACGTACACCGGACGAGATACATGTTCCTATATGAATTATTCTACGTGTAGGCTACAGTATGGAGCGACATAGAGAAAATTTTCACAACACTCACTAACCAATTAGGAGAAATAAACGCCTACAATACAGCTATATGTGAGCAGGCCTTCCCAGCAAGTACACATAAGTCTCAGGCCATCAGAGTAGTTTGTCGGCGCATGGTTAACATTTTTCTTTTCATGGATGGACTAGATCGTGCCGGGAAAAATTCTTGGGTGAAGAGGGAGGACAGGATGGACGAATGGACATTTGAGAGGTATATAAGGTGTATGATGGGCAATGTAGCTTTAATAGAACTATTCTGGAACAACTGCGCGCAAAAGGCAATGGTGGAAACCGTTTCCATGTACATGCATCCGTGGAGAGAAGCGACGAACTATAACGATAATAGTAGGTGGTGCAATGATTTAGACTACAATACACTAGTGGTGGGCACCAAATATGTGGGGCTAACCATGGCAGAGTGGATACGCAGTTGGAAACACGAGAATCAGAAGGGACGCGTAGGGACAAATAAGGCACGGAGGACATGTGCGGCGGGAGGGACTCCGGGAACCGTGGATAGTGCAGTCGCAGCGCAGGATCGTACCCCTATTGTTAGAATATTCCACGAAGGAGAGGCGGATAATGTACACAAGGCTGTGGAACAGGGGCAGACCTTTACGCAGGATCAACGCGATAAATTAATCGCAAGGCTAAAACAAGAACGAGCACGGGCAGACGGTTTTAAGAGCGTAGTAGAGAACGCAGGGCAACCTGCCTCCGCTAAACCCGCCCCGTCCAAACCGGTAGCACCGGAAGCAACGGAAACACCACAGGTACCGGCAGGTAAGGACCGATGGGAGAAAGCACGAATACGGCCCGTATCAATATACGGCAGCTACGAATAAGAACCGTATGGCCCATATGGATGCTGCCACCACAACAACGCACGGCCACAACTACGCACACGCGTGAACAAAACAACACGCACCCACGGCGGAACACCACCCCCTCGGTGAGCCCAGCACAGCGGCGTCCACGACGGCAGTGGTAGCGACGACGACTATGTAGCTACCAGTATGTAGCGGTAGCGGCCACTGTGTAGCGGCGACGAGTGCGGCGGCCACGACGGCATTGGTAGCGGTTGCGGCGGCGACGCGTGATGGAGCGCCAGCCACGGCACCGGAGACGAGATGACGGAGCGTGACGGCGACAACACATACAAGTGTACTGCTATCACCTCCGTCCACCGAGTACGCAGTCCACCTCACCGTACGCTTGCTGTCGCCTGACCCAGGCCACCGAGTACGCAGTCCACCGAGTCCATCTCGACCCACTGCATCGAGCCGGACCGTACCCTGCCGCTACATGACCCAACCGTCTCGCGCCTTCTTTCTGTACCACTTGTATCCTTTTTTTTTTTTATCATCTTTCGCATCCATCTTTCTACCACCTTTGTTCCGTTGTCCTCATTGCAGCAACGAAGCAGGACGCACGCACACCACAAGCCGACAAACCTGCGGCTACCAAACCAGCAACCACAAAACCGGTAACAGGGGGAGGAGGAGACAAGAACGGGGCGAAGCCCTCGGCACCATCAGCAGCAGGCACATCAGGAACAGGAACATCTTCCGGACAACCACGATCAGATTCCTCGGCTGGGGAAGGACAGCCGGCCGCAGCAGGATCAGGAGCAGGCGGGCAAGGACCAGGTCAAGCACCAGGACCGGGACAACAACCCCCACCACCTCCACCACCACCAGAACCGGCACGTCCTGCAGCACCTAAAGGGGAACAGGGAGCAGCATCCAGTACAGGAGGATCCACAACACCCACAAACAAGTCAGGAGCGGAGGCGCAGACGCCACAGGCCACTGTTACCAATAACGAGAAAGGAGAGACTCAAGGTAAGAAAGCTGAATGTACCAAGCATGTGACCGAGTCCCACGCAGGGCAATCAGGCCGCGGGCAATATGCTGATCCCATTGATGACTCCAGAGGAGGTACAGGTGGCTCCTCAGTATCTTTCACTGTTGCCGTCACCACGCCCGAATGTTCAGACACAGGTAACATTGTTTCACATGAGCATACTACTGAGCTTTCACACTGTGTCAGCGTACGCCGCGTGTACTATTAAACGAAGAACAAAAAAGAGAGAGAAAAAAAAAAACAAAAACAAGAAACAACAATTTCCGGAGAGAGAGGGAGAGACAACACGGAGAGAAGCAGAGAGCAACCAAACGTCGAATGAGAATGAGGCGGGCGACAGACACCGCCGCGGGATGTAGACGTAGCCACGTAGACGTCGACAGAGCGACACACACACTGTCTGTGTGTTGTGTGTGTGTTGTGTGTGGGAGAGACAGAGAGAGTCTTTTCCCGGGGTGGCACCAGCCAACCACCGTTCGCACCGTGGCACCAATGGTGCCGACCGCACCGTTCAACCGACATTCAGCGACGGACCGTGTGGTCAACCATCCACGTTACCAATTTTAGTTACGTCTATATTCTTCCTTCCCTTCAATTGTTCAGGTACGGATAATAAATCAGGCGCGGGAGGACCAGCACCACCGGCAGCACCGGCGCATGCGCAACCGGGACCCACTGAATCAGTATCTGCTACAGCGACAAGCACATCATCACCAGTACCAACAACCACAACAACATCGTCCAGTGGAGCAGACGCGGCATCCCCTGGTCCCCCTGGTCTCGCAGGTAAAGTTGGTGAATCCGGCCCTTCTGGTCCCGGCTCCTCAGGACCTGGTTCTACTGGTCACCAAAATCCTGGTTCCTCAGGCACTGGCTCAACTGGGGATCACAAACCAGGTTCCTCAGGACCCGGTTCCACTGGACACACGAATAATGAGAATGTTGAAGCAAAAGGAAACGAGGAGGAGAAATTACCTGCGGATGCACCCATCACCCCTTCCCTGTTCCCGGAATTAAAATGGGAAGATGTCAAGCCGTACACCCCCGCGATCATTCCCGCGGTGGTTGGTATTGGCATCATTGCGTTCTTCCTCTGGAAGGTAATTATACACGGCAATCATGGCATGCCGCATGTGCAGGATGTTTATACCTCAGCACATCCCAACCGGCTCCAATATATGATCGTTCTAATCAATATACTGCTACACCCGTGTTCATTCCTTTTATCCTACCGTCCTCACCCTCCTCTTTACCCCCCTTTTTCTGCTTAGTACTTTGCGCACCTCGGCCACAAACGACGACGAACATATCGAACCGTTCGTGACGTGCCGTCACCGCCACTCGACGAAGAAATATTGGAGCATCTACAACGCGGCGAACTGCCGCCACCCGATTACGGGTACACGATGGTTACGCCACCTGCGTCTGCTGCCGACCGCCGCGCACAACGCCCGCCACGCGTGCATACGCGCACGATCATCGACCTACATCTAGAAGTGCTCCACGAATGTGAAGCGGCCGACTGGGAAAATGTCAAAGACGACTATTTGCATATACTCGTTGAAGAGTTTATGGGGGACGGCAATGGGCATAGTAGTTCCTTGGATGCTCCTATCACAAACCAGGCTTTGTCACGGAACAATGTTCCATCCACTGAGTCCGACGGCATAGATCGATGTCCACGTAACGACGATAACCCCGATCCTTGGAGTTATATGCAAACCATACAGTTAGCAACGAACCCTTGTGCACCTAACGAAGATAACCCCGATCCATGGAATTGTATGGAAACCATACAGTTAGATACAGAACCCGACCCGCACTCCTCCCCGCGGAATGAATGCCCGACCCCCGACCACACTTATTGGATGAACTGGATTGACCGCAACAAGCACCTAGTGCAGGACTGCACGACGCAGCCGTGGTTTTTGCAATTAAAAGCGGATTGGAAACAATATTATCAACAACATTCGGCAAACGAGGATAACGCAGCATCCGGTGACCACAGGAAAGCCGCAACCATGGAAAGCAAGAAGCACGCATGGAAAGAATGGGTCGCCAAACAACATGCGCTTATGCATATATATGGTGAGGACGAGTGGTTCCATCATTTGTTGGTCCACATCCAGGAGGAGACAGTACCGGACAAAGGCGAAGTACCTATAGCGGAAAAAGCCTTAGAACTGGACAAAGTAATGGCCGCAGAAGATGTTCTAAGAGTGACAGATGTACCACGCACGCAACTGCATCGGCAACTGTACCTCCACAAGCCGCTAAGCACTAAAATATGGATACTGCTCTTGGCATTAGTCATAGAACAGTGCGAGCTCGAACGTCGTTTGCAGGAGACGGAGTTATATGTGGATGACCTATTGCAAACGTGTTAACATTAGGATGACGGGGCATATGAATGGGAAATAACGCATGCTAACATTAGACCACGTTTAATTCATTATGTGATATACATAGTATATTTCTGGTTTGCACTATTCCATACGTTCTTTTTTTTTTTTCTGCTCTCTTCTGCTTTTTTCTGTTTCTTTATGCTTACTGTTGCTTTTGTTTGTTTCTTTTTCTGCGTAGTCAACTTCTTTTAACATGACCATGGGGACAGGGTGGTACCGGTTACATGCATATAAAATGTACATTTAAATGAATAATATGAACGGGTAGTATTCTCCTTTATGTGAAGTTAATTATTAAAAGCTGCGCACGTGCATGCTACGGGCATAGTGCAGAACAAATATAGAATGCGACTACGCATTCCAGTATAAGGAGAGATTGTCTCTCCGCGCAAACGCGGCCGGGTAAACCGCATTGTAGCCGAGTGTAAGAAGGAGCACAGATTGTCTCTCCGAGCAAACGCGTTGACCAAAGCGGCCGGGTAAACGGGCTTGTCAGCGCGTAAGCAGGAGGGAGAGATTGTCTCTCCGAGCAAACGCGTCGACCACAGCGGCCGCGTGCACGACGGAGGAGAGATTGTCTCTCCGAGCCAACGCGCTTCGACCAACGTGGCCGCTGGTAACCACGATTCGACGCAGTAGCCGAGTGTAAGAACGGAGGAGAGATTGTCTCGCCGAGCAACGTGGCCGGCTAAAGGACATTGTCGACGAGCACACGCGTCCGAGTGAAGCGGTTCGACGACGTCGCCTCGTCAGCATTGTGCCGAGGGTAAGACGGATTCGACGCAGTAGCCGAGTGAAAGTATCCACAGAGGGAGTTGAGACAGCGGGGCACCAGCGAGACGTGTGGCGGAGGAAGGAACACACATAATTTGTGGGAGGGCGAACCACGGACGGAAGACGGCCACGACGGAAGAAGCATTTGATGTTTTTATTGCGGTTTTTAGCTGTACGCGCACACAGAGACACACTGTGTGAAGGCGTTTCGTGGAGACCGGTGTAGAAAGGGGCGGCGGGTGTATTCATGACGCGTTTTGCGTGTGTAGGTAGTAGTAGTAGTACTTTTTTCTTTTTTTCCTTTTCTTCTACAGAAGTAGAACACGGACGGCACCACAGCGGACGGCGGACGGCGGAAGAAAACAAGTAGTAGTTTGTGTATTTATCACGACATTGCAGAAGTACTTGACGGAGACGGGGTGACGGAGACGGGGTCACGTAGAGGCGTTGACGGGAGAGGCCTTGACGGCGAGGCGTTGACGGAAGAGGCGTTGACGGAGAAACGTTGACGGAGAGGCGTAGACGCGAGCGGCCTTGACGGGGCCGGGGTTGACGCAGACGCGTTGACGGAGAAGGGGTGACGGAGAGGCATTGACGGGAGAGGCGTTGACGGAGAACGGGGTGACGCGGTGACGGAAGAGGCGTTGACGCGAGAGGCGTTGACGGAAGAGGCGTTGACGGAAGAGGCGTTGACGGAAGAGGCGTTGACCGGAGAGGCGTTGATGGAAGAGGCGTTGACGGAGAAACGTTGACGGAGACGGGGTGACGGAAAAGGTGTGACCCGGAGACGGGGTGACGGAAAAGCGTTGACGCAGACGGCGTTGACGGAGAACGCGGTGACGGCGACGGCAAGGACGGCAAGGACGGCAAGGACGGCACGGACGGCAGCGACGGCCAAGTACCTGCCACACCAGTAGCGGTGACACCGGCAGGAACGCTGACACCGGGATCTGGGACCATGAGGACGACACCATCTGGGAGTGCTCGTACTGGACGAACCACACGCAGCGCAACTACTGGTCCTGGAACAGTCACTAAGGCGGATACGCAAGCGGCGAAAGATTTTTTAGTGAAAGTTCTCGTGAGTTATATAAATGATAGACGCATAGGCGGAGACAGTGCGCAGCAGGACGCTTACGTAAGTTCATAAACGCGGACCATTCAGGACAAAGTACAGGAGGCATATGTTCATATGCTAACGCTGCATCGGCGGAATTCTGAAATAGGATATATATGGGAGAAGTGTGTATTGGACTAATAATTAAAAGAACAAGAAATAGAATTATGTATGTTAAGGAGGAACATGTATTTTAAAGAGTGCGTAAGAAATGTAAGACAAAATAGAAAACGGAAAGCACATGTATATGTTTATAACAATATGCTTATTGCGCCATGTAGGAAAAATTCTGGGGGGACATGAAGACTGTTTACGAAGAATTTGTAACATATATGGAAACAACGGATCAGGACACACCGCATGGGCAACTATGTCAGGAGGCTGAGCAACGACACGCGCCACGCCAAATAACAGCAGGAGATAGAGTCTTATGCGAGTTGATGTTGCGGGCGTTGCATTTTAAGCATAGGTCCCATATGTTCAGCGCAGGCCTAGGCGAAGGACGCACTAAGGTTGCAGACACCATTAGTACCCCAGAATATATGAGGTGTATGATAGTGAATGTATTTATGAATGATATATTGGGCGAGGCGTGCCTGCAGACACACGGTGCCACGTACGCATTTGACGCGGCGGAAGGTTTATTAACAACCAGTGAGGGGGCCGGAGGGAATGAAGCATGTGACCGTGTAAACTTCGCCAATACCCAAGTAGCCGGGGGTAATTTAAGGGACGCCATGATAACATGGTTGGGGCAAAAAAAGATACAGTGGGGCGATACACAAGCTGCAGGAATATTCAGCAGTAGGTGTAGCGCATGGACGCACCAGGGAAAGGATAACACGGGGCACAACAACCAGGCCGTGTACGCAGAAGAAATAAAGGCGGAGGTTACAGGGCGCATACGAAATGTACAAGACAATATTGATAAAAATGAAGATGAGATAAAACAGAATGTGCTGGAGAAGATCAAGCAGATGCAGTCCAGTACGAGCAGTACTGGACATATAACTCCCGCCGCTGCCGCGGCCACACCCGTTGCGACAACAGCTGCAGGTAAGACAAATGGGAGAAAGCACTAATACGACCCGCTACGTACCGTATTGCTCAATATGGATGCCACCACAACAACGCACGTGAACTACGCACACGCGGCGGAACAGCACCACACTTCGTTGACGTTGCGCTGCGGGGACGGCAGCGATATCCATAGCCGTAGCGGAGGCCACTATGTAGACATGGTGTGTGTGTGCGCCGGCCACTGGGTACCAGCGTCACAGTGGTGCGCGGGGATGGAGCGGCGGTCATGACGGCACCGTAGACGAGATGACGGCGACAACATAAAAGTTGTACGGCTACCATCTAGTCCAAGTTCACCGAGTACGCAGTCCATCGAGTCGACACGGCCGGTACCTGATCGAACCGTCCCGGCCCCTTTCTTTCTGTACCACTTTGTGTCCTTTTTGTATCATTTTGTCGTTCGTCCATCTTTCTTCCTTATTATAGCTACGACCAAGGACAAAAACGCAGAAGGCACGAGTAATCACAAGAAAGAAGACTCGTCCCAGGACACTCCAGGTGAGGAACAGTGCCAGGAAGGTAACTCCCATACGAAAGCATCAGGTACAGAGAAGCATGCGAACTCGCTTGTCACTGTTGAAAGGGGTACGCACAAATACGAAGGCCAGCAGCCTACATGCGCCACGATCAAGGAGTTGGAGCGCTTGCAAAAATCCATGGACGCTGGACACAAATCCAAGGCTGATCGGGATGGTACTCTTCGAACGAGTGCAACAAGCACGAATAATGTATATTATCAGTGACGGAAACACATAACAACACTGAGCACAAAAGAAAAGAAGGAAAAAAAAAAACAAAAGAGAAACCACAATTTCCGGCGACAGCGGGAGAGGCAACACGGAGAGACAACACGGAGAGTGAGAAACCACGCAGCGAGAGAAACCAAACGTCGAATGAGAATGAGAATGAGCGGCAGCCCCGCGTCCGGTAGCGACCGGCCGAGCGATCGGCCGAGCGATCGGCCAAGCGATGGGTCGGCAGCGCGATGTAGACGTCGACAGACGTCGACAGACAGATGTCGACACACACACTGTCTGTGTGTGTTGTGTGCGTTGCGTGGGTGGGAGAGAGAGTCTTTTCCCGGAGTGGCACCTGCCAACCACCGTTCGCACCGTGGCCAACCACAAGCGACGGATCATGTGGACAACCAACCATGTGCCACGACCGCTGCAAAAGTTCAGTTTCATCACATACTTCTTCCTTCCCTTTCCCTGTCTCCCCATTCACCAAATGTTCAGGCGATGACGTCGTTGACGGCGGCAACGATGACCCCCCTCCTCTCAATCCACCCACAAATCCACAACCGAACACGAACCGCGATCAATCCGGTAGTAGTGGCAGTTTCAGTGATGCTGATTTGGCGGACGGAGTTTCTGGTGGGGAACGAAAGGGAGCTGTTACTATAGGTAGTCCCTCGCCCGTCAAAAAGGAAGACCACTGTACTAAGAGAGATGGCGAACATGATTGTGATCTCAAATTAGCAGTACCATTTGAACCTACCATAAACCTCTCGGATGGACACTTCGGAACAGGACCAACACCAGGTCCCACGGGGAACCCTCCGCACAATGTGGAACACGGTGGCCGCTTCTTCCCTGACCTAACCGCCGACGTCTTTACCGCCACTGCTCCCGTCCTGTTTTTTCTCGCTGCCGTCACCGTGGCCCTTCTTGGTTATTCCCTTTGGAAGGTAAGTATATACGGAATACCGCATATGAGCATCCGCAATATGTACCATAGACCAATGTGTTTCTACGGAGCTTCCTTACATGATGATACAAACAAATGCACTCTTCTACATCGTCCTCGTTCTTTTTTTTTTGTTTAGTACTTTGCGTACCTCGCCAAGCGCCGACGAACGTATCGAACCGTTCGTGACGTTCCGTCACCGCCACTAGACGAAGAAATATTGCAGCATCTACAACGCCGCGAACTACCGCCACCCGATTACGGGTACACGATGAGTAGGGATACGCGACCTGCATCTGCTACCGAACGACGCGGACAACGCCCACCACGCGTGCATAAACGCACGATCATCGAGCTACATCTAGAAGTGCTCCACGAATGTGAAGCGACCGCGTGGGAAAACGTCAAAGACGACTATTTGCAGATTGTATTGCAGGAGTTTGCACATGACTTGGAGCCGGATGCACACGGGCACAGTAGTTCCACGGTGTGTGCTGCGAACCGGGAGTCATCAACGGACGATTCATCAAACCACGATTCGACAACCCGGGATTCATGTCCACCTAATGACCCCGATCCATGGCGTTGCATGGAAACCATACAGTTAGCAACGGACCGTTCTCAACCTAACGAAGATAACCCATGGAGTTGTATGGAAAACATACAGTTCCCAACGGACCCTTGTCCACCGACCGAAGACGACCCATGGAGTTGTATGGAAACCATACAGTTCGAAACGGACCCTTCTGCATCTAACGAAGATAACCCCGATCCATGGAATTGTATGGAAAACATACAGTTAGCAACGGACCCTTGTGCACCGCATGCACACGACCCCGATCCATGCACGTGTATGCACACTATACAGTTAGCAACGGACCCTTGTGCCCCTAATGCAGACGACCCCGTTCCAGCCACACACACACCCACCTGTGCTGATCCTAAACCCGAAATCACACCACCACCAGGCTCCGGTAACGCAGTCACAGACACACACACCTGTGATCATCCTCAGCCCGACATCACAGACATACCCACGCACGACATAGTCCCGGACATACCCACATGTGAGGATCCTAAGCCCGAAATCACAGACATACCCACACGTGACACAGTCACGGACATCCCCACACGTGCACCTCCTGCGTCCGCAATCACACCACACACAGTCACACACGACACCATCACGCACATGCCCACATGCGCAGACCCCGTCACGGACATACCCACATGTGATGATCCGAAGCCCGAAATCACACAACACACACTCACAAGCGACACTGTCACGGACACACCCACAGTACACACTACCACGTGGCTGCGTTGGATCGACACACACAAACACCTCCTACAACCTTTCATCACTGCCCCTTGGTTCATTATGCTACAGCAACGCTGGCGGCACCATCAGCAGCAATATGCGTCCGATCCTACTAACATCCACGCACCATTACAAGCCTGGCGCACGTGGGTTTCCGCGCAACATACAACACTGGACACACTGCGCACAGACGCGTGGTTCACACAACTGTTACAGCACCTGCCGCCACCACCGCACCACACGCAGTCGGCCACTACGTCCGCAGTCACAGACCGTCTCACATGTGCTCATGTCATAACCGCACACGCACCAGCATCCACCTCAGCACGCACACTGCACACACACATTGCACCAACCACACACACACAACCTGCACCCGATGTTGCATCCACGCCGCGGACTCCTGTGCGCGTCGCACACCACGCACACCCAACCATGTCACATGTGCACTTATCTACGCACAAACAGTTGACTTCAGCATTACACATGCTCATTCTGGCAGCTGTTATTGAACAGTGCCACAATGAGTCATATTTGCACGCACAAGAGCAATACTTAGAAACTTTATTAGATCATATGTGATGTATTCCTACATGCTTCACGCACTGTCTTTTCGCGATAATGTGTTGTTTTTTACACAAATTCTTTTTTCTCTGTTTTCTCTTTCCTTTGTTGTGATTTGTTGTTGCACCATGTTGTTTTTTTGCTAGCGCGTGCTGCATTTCTGAGCCACCCGCCCCCCTCACTCACATTGCGCATCTTTTTCAACTCACAACAACGCTACATCCACCACGTCATAGCGTGCGCCTATGACCCCTCAAACAATGTTCACTCCTTACGCAATCACATGCGTATCCTAAAACCGACATCGCACGTACCACACAGCCACATTGTGGGTTCTTCTCAACGGATAACAAACCTACAGCTTCACATGTCCTAGCAGTGGCCTATGCCCTGTCACACATGGTTACATCCTTCAACGATCACACATGTATCCTACATGCACGGTCCTACAGGCCCACATGCATAAACCCTAAACACGCACTCTACCATCCCTGACACGCACACACACTGAGGTCCCCAAAACCACACGCTAGTTGCGTCACCACAACATACATATATCCTAAACCCAACATCCACCATTGCTCACACCAACACACATGAATGCCAATTAAACCCAGAATGTTCCATCCCACACATACCCGCACCTGCGCACCACAGCATATCATATGCCCAACATCCACCATCCCACATAGTCACACCCTGCATTCCTACACGCGCAACACACCATCATACGCACCCACACCACAGTGCATCCTACAGCCGCAATCGGACCTCTCCCACCAACCCACACAACAGTGCATCCTAAACCCTGAATCCAGCATCCCCCACACACCCACATCCTCAGACCCTACACCCACTATCCCAGTTCCTGCACCGGGACTGCACCATTAAGTCCTGCACCCCAAACCCTGAACCGTAAACCCTAACACAATAAAACCCTAAACTCTAAAACCTGAACCCTAAACTCTAACACCTGAACCCTAAACTCTAAAACCTGAACCCTACACTCTAAAACCTGAACCATGAACCCTCAGCCCTGAACCCTCACGCCTACAACCTGAACCCTCAAGACTAAACCCTGAACCCTCAAGACTAAACCCTGAACCTTCAAGACTAAACCCTGCACCCTCAAGACTACACCCTGAACCCTAAAGCCTAAACCCTGAACCCTACATTCATGAACCCTAAACCCGAAACTATGAAACCTGGAACCTCTAAACCCTGAACCCTGAACCCTACATTCCTGAACCTTGAACCCTGAACCCTAAATCCTGAACCCTGAACCCTAAACCCTGAACCCTGAACCCTACATTCATGAACCCTAAACCCGAAACCATGAAACCCGGAACCTGTAAACCGTGAACCCTACATTCCTGAACCCTAAACCCTACACCCTG